AGCTGGAGTGCGGGAACTCTCAATTGAGATGGACAGACCCTTTGGACATAACCCAGTTGAACCGGTCACGTCACATTCTTTGTCCATGCCTCGACAACCTGCACGAAATGCCAACGACCCATGACCCATGCGAGCATATCGGATTGTCAGGAAGTGCATTGGCATGCAACAAGTTCCCATCCAACTCATCCACATGACCAGGGATTCTTCAAACCATCCACCCATCCATACCCGCCATACCCGTCACCAATCTAGCTCCGTGAGCCTTGCGGACGCAGGTTCAGCTCCGTGGTCCGGTGGTTTGCAGGAGCGGAGTGACGGATGACCAGCACTGATCACAATGGACTGAGTGTTCGGGAAGGAGAATGGTTTTCCAGTGTTTTCCAGGTGCCACTCTGCCAAGGCAGGTCCTGGCTGGCTAAGTGGTTGGGTCCTGGGTGTGTTTCCGTTGTTGGCCGATGATTGGTGCTTATGGGGAAGCAACCCGGGGCAATGAACCCGAGAATAGACTGGAGATGGACGAGCTTTGCAAGTGGGTCCAACCCCAGAAGCTGCAGTCACATCAATAGAGTCACACATGTTCAGGGAGACCTTGGTGTGGATGTGGAAAGATGTTGACAGCCACTTTGGAGCATTTGCTGTTCCAAAATGTCCTCCAGTGTTTTCTGTAATCCTCCCGCTCATGTTTGTCGATTTGCCTGGCTGCACCAACTGCTGAGGGACAAGTTGTTGTGGCACAGAGCTAGAACTTATCCTTTATTTTGGTGCCTTTTATTCTGACCTGTTTTCCTTCCTTTCCGACAATTTATATAAGTGATCAGAAGAATGACTGTGAGACCTCCATCTGCAGTCATCTGCTGCAGGATGAAATTCTGAAATGCCAGAGGAAACCGCAGGACTGCTGTGTCGCCGGTGGAGGGTGTTTGGGAACGGCAAACTGTAGATACATATTGATACATCATTAATTGGCGGCTTCGAGCGAGTATCTAAACTAAATGCAACATCTGGCTTGTTGGGCTTCTTGCCCCAAGCACCTTGGATCCCGCAGGATGGCTTTCATCGTCGAAGATTATATAAATTCCCTGTCGCCAGGCCAAGGCGCCACGGAGTCCGGTTTGGCGGGTTTGGCGCCTGAAGCGTGCACAAGCCTTTCGCTGCTTGCACTGACACCCGAGATGCTCCTCGCGCATCGGGCTCGTCGCAGCAAGCGGCCAATTCGTTATGGAGTGAAGCGATGAAGCTTTTGATGAGTAGTAATGGATCTTCCACGAGGACCGCAATGCAACATGGGATTCAGCCCAAAATGCCCGACCCTTCAGTTTTCGTTCGACTTATGTATTGGGGAGATCCCGCAAAGGGTGCGATATGACAAGGCATCCCTGACATTAATTGAATTGGCCGGCCACATGTACAAGTTTGTCGTTATTTGTTGGACCCTGCTTGTGACGATTCGTGCGACCCCAAGTTACAACATGTTACAACCCCTTCAATGTTTGTGCTGCGCCCTGTGGTGCCGCTTTGTAAGCTTCACATTTGTCCAGCGAGGTTCCTTCGCGTTAGACAGCGGCTTCCTGCAAATCTCAAGTTAAGGCTCCCATGGATATACTCTTGATTCGTAATGGATGATAAATGATGAAAAATCATGATTGCACAGTTGCACAATTCATTATAATTCTTGTTTGCACACGGTTGCACAAATCTCACCTCAGTGAAACCTCCACAAGGGCAAGGCCCACCAAGGCATCAGGTCGCAGAGTCTTGGAGCTGGTTTCGTTGAGGAGAACTCTGCGAGCAGTCGTAAGCCATGGTAAACCAATTGCAGCTGACTATGGAATAGTAGAGGATCGAGACGGATCAAGGGAGTCAACCAGATGTTGTGCCGCCTTTGGGAGCCCACTGGGAGCTTGATTTGTATTTGGCTCACCCGAGGAAATACACAGGTCCTTCCGGCAATCCTGACCCATCGTTTCTTGATGCGTAATGAAGAAGCATGCACCGAGCAAACAGAGCATGTTTTCAGCAGGTCCCCCTTGGTGCCTCAGCTCGAAGCAGGAAGTCGAAGTCATATGTGAATGGTGCACGGAGAAAAAGGTGTGCCTCATTGACATAGGGTTTTCAGCAGGTGCGGCAAACAAGAAGGTCTTGATTTTGCCAGCAAGATGGCTTGGACATACTTCTGCCAGATATTCTAGACAAACACTCCTGAAGTGAAGAGATGTTTTGAGATCACAGCACAGAACACCGCGTAGCCACAATTGTCCAAGATTCTTCCAGGCAATTTTGTTTCTATGTGCAGTTTCCTCGTCCGGCATTTCAAACGGGTGTAAGTTCATCATCTCTCTAGACGAATCGGCCTTCCAAAGCCACTTGGGTCTACGGCCTTGTTGAGCCTTTGTAGTGTTTTTTATGTTTTGCTACCGCATGAGAGCCGTATGTTCTTTTTTGATCTTGTTTGGGGGGGTGAGTGCTTCATGCTGTCGTCCCGACCGCCAGCCCCCGAAAAAAACAAAAGAGCCCGGACCACGCGAGGCGTATTTTTGGGGATCTGCCGCGCGGCGTGCAGAATGGGTGACGTTAATTACTGTTACAGATCCGTGAATGGAGCAGCTTACTCACAGACCCTGGCCGGAACTAGGAGGATATCAAGACACACAGACAGCGAGCCACAACGGCACGGGCTACAACAATAAGAGATGTGTTTCCAGGATACGGCGAAACCCTCTTGGAACCTGGAAGTCGCAGAATGCTCGCCATGGTGGTGGTTCTGCCGATTTGTGTCTACCAGGCACCACGCACGTTCCGGACACCAAGCGCTTCCTGGTTGACTTCCTGGAGGAAGCTCAACTGGCAGTGGCACCTGAGGCGCAGTGATGCATTTCCGCTGGCCACGGACAGAACCCCAAAACATCATCCCAAAATCAACTTGTAATACTTGTGGCTAGGAGCGATAGGAGCATCCTCCTGCGAGCACGCCTAAATCCTAAATATGACACCCGATTTGGAGCCTGCCAGCATAGTCAGCATAACAGGACATGTTTGGCAGAAGAGAAGAATATAAGAAAGCGCTTAAATAATTAAGCCAACCCGTCCATCATTGCATCCGAGGCTGCTCCTAGTGCTAGAGGTGTTGTTCTTCACAAAAGGCACGATGTCCATTCTCGACAATTTTGGTCATCTGGGAAGCTCCCAGCAAGACCTCCAACCAAAGGATGTCCTCCAAAGTTGTTGAATTAGCCCCGTTGCATTGCAAGCCTTCATGATCCCAATGTCATGAGCTTGCACGAATCCAGCCAATGCATCGAAGGCTGTTCTTTGGTCAGCAACGGTGAGGTCCTGTGCACTGCATTACCCAAGTGATTCAAAGGTACTTATATATATATATATATACAGTATATATAAATAAAGGCCGTGGATGTGCAAACGAAGGCTATGCTTCTGCAAATGCAGAAGGAACAGCGATGGGTCCAAGCAGATCAGGATTGGTGGCCTGCTACTGAATCATGCACCTGTCCGTTTGTTGCACCTAGACCAGGGGAGATCATATACGGGGCTTTGGGCTTTGGTTCGGACACGAAGGGCTCATGCTGATGTGACCCTATGTGTGACCTGCCCATGCTGAATTTGCCACGCTATCCCTGACAAGCCCTTCTTTTTGTTACTAGTAGTAAGGCACTTGTTACTACTAGCGTGGCACTTGTTACTACTAGCGTGGCACTTGTTACTATGCCTTCATCAAGGCTGTTGATCCAAGTCACTTGCCCCCGAGAGAAGTCAGATAATTACCTCAACCGGTGACAGCCATGTGATGGCCCCGTGCCGCTCATCGCTGTGGCTGCTTCCGCTGGCCGCGAGCGAGACTTTGCACTCGTGGAATGGTGACCATCGCGATGCCAAGCTGCAGCCCAAGCACAGCAGGCCCAAGAGCCCACACTCCTCTAAACAAACAGTTCACCAGCCCGAACAGAAGGGGTGCTGGTTTGGGGTTTGAGCCATTCCACCCCGAGGGTCGGTGGCACCCAGGCCCTCTCACTCTTTCCTTCCTTTGTGTTTGCCTCTCGCTCACTCATTGTTGAATTAGTATAGACACTGGAATCCTTGCCTTATTGTAATTACCATGCAGCCCTTAAAGGCATGAAATTGCAAGCGCCTGAAACGGGTGTTTAAACACATTCACTCACCTAGCTTTGGCAAACTTGCTTATATATTCCTCAGGCCCAGGTCCTATCACGTCCCCAGCTCCTGAGGACTGGTGTTGGTCCCAGCGCCCGAGCGCCAGCCCGGATGCGTGTTGCTTTCGCCCTGAAGCCTCCTCCGTAGAAGTGCAGCGGCGCTGCTGGCCGCCGGCCATGGTAGGCGCCAGTCCTGTGTGTGTGTTGTGTGTGCAGGGGCCGAGTGTGACTAGGAGAATGCCGGAGTTAGGTTCAACTGAACTACTGCAAGAATTTCCCAACATTTATCTGAAAGGATTCTATTCCAGTGCAGGATGTTCTAGAATCGATTTCAAGGTGGCACATGTGGGCTTTGGATGCTCGCAGGAGATGCATTTCAAATTGGGGCCGAGATCAAGTACCGCGAAATATGGATGAAGAATTCCAATAATTCCATCCATGGCTTGAGACTCATTCTGAGACACAATGCTTTACAAACACTGAGAATTTGTTGGAAGAAAGCCGCATGAGACGAGGGTTTTGGGAGTGGCCACACTTTTACTGCAATAGAAAGTTTGAAATTACCCATCTCAGGCACAAGACCCTGTTGGGCGATGTGATCACCGGATATGCCGTTTTTCCTGCCTGGGCAGGGGTTCCTGGGAACAACTGCGCCGCCGTCTCCCATATGCCAAATGCGGGAGGTTTAGAGAGAGAGAGAGAAAAAAAAAGCGAGCGAGCGAGAGATCCCAAATACGTTGTAAACGCCTTGGCCAATCAACTTACTTGAGTGAATTTTGAACATCCTGCTTCATTCCACATTCTGCAAACACCCCAGGCGTGGCCTTCCTCATGTGTTGCCTCTCGGTGGAGCACGGCCGCACCGTTGCCGCCCGTGCGCTGCCGGACGTTGATCGCTGGAGGGAGCCGGTGGACGCCGCTCGGAAGGAAGGCCGCTACAAGGGAGGTAGAGAAGGGTGGCTAGCAGAAGGGTGAGCCTAGCACACTTCTTGAACTTGTTTTAAAACATGTTTCATTGGCGCTGGGCGACAGATTGGGTTTGTTGGGAAGGGAACAGTCCCGCATAAGGGCATGTGAGACCTGCCACCAGCTGAACCGGTGAGATGATGCAAAGACACATGCTCAGATGGTGCACGAGTGGGGAGGCATAGCCTCACTCAGACTAATGAATGCCACGTCGCCAGGTTTGTTCATCCAAATGCATATATACTGGAAGTGTGACAACAAAAGGTGTTGCGACAGACCAGGCCAGTGCGTCAAGGAGGGACCATTTGTTTGCACCAAGCATCAACTTCTGAGGTGGAAGAGGCCTTGCGGTCGGAGTTGGCGGAAGGCTTTGGGCCACTGCAGAGCGCCTACAATGCCAAAGATGCCGCGGTGCTCTTGCAGCTGTCCATGGCCATACCAAAGTTGTGGGCCACTTTCTCAGCCACGCGGAGGTGGACAAAACGGGCATTCAAAAGGGTTGGAGGTGAGGTTTGGGGATCCTATCCAAGTACGTTTAGGAATGTATGGTGGTGTTGGGGGGGCTGCAAGATATTCACAGCTTTTTTCTTTGGAGGATGATAAACTTATATTTAAGCTAAACTTTAAGTTGTGTTATGGAAGGTGAACCTTCTGCAATATCAGAAGTGTTTATATATTGCAAATGTGGTCATGACATGTTTATTGGTTCCTTGCCAGGCTGGCCTCTCAATTGCTGTACTACGGCAGGGCAGACCTCTATGGTCACCAGGAGGTTATGGCCTGGTCTGAAGGTCCGATGGATGTCGAGCCGGGTGGCTTTGTCCTGAAAGTTTTACTATTTGGTCTGAGGTTTGTGCTGAATTTGGGGTGGAGGGCTGGACTTGCCCTGCGACACTGGAAAAACAACAACTAAAAACATGAGGCATCTCCCGCGACAAGCGCAACCTACCCAGTCAGTGCATAGCCGTTAACTATCATTAACGTTTTGGGGATTATTTACGCGATTGAAGGCCAAAATTCAGGTGTTGATAGTGCAATTAACGTACACCAATTGAGATTCACCAAATCATGTAAGTCTTGTGCTTTGTGTGAGGTGCATGCATATCTGCATATATCATATATCTGCATAAGCCAAGCATTTTGTGTTTTTGATGTCGAAGTGTCTCAACTTCAACATGTTGAAGCTTCTTCATTCGCTACTAGGGGCAAGAACGCTACTAGCACTGTGTCTCATTCCTCGCAGTGTCTCGGGTCAGAAGACCGGTGGGGGTCAGAAGATGAGGTTCCGTCGAAAGCGTGGCCCGTCGAAAGCGCTCTCAGGTTGGGAGTTGTTGTGGGTGACGGTGATGCCACCCTTGCTTCACGTGACTTGGCTTTTTGGATGGCTCCCACACTGTGTCGTTTTGCAATATGAGAATACATGAAAAAAACTATATAACTATAGCCTTAGCTGTTACACTGCCTACCCCCCCAAATGAAGATAATAAAGCCTTCCACTCAATTCTGCTGGTAGTTCCAGTGCTTTTGGAAGGTGTCTTTAATGAGATCTATTCTTGGATGCGCCTCTCCCCCCAAAAAAAAACACAGGTTCAATACAAGTAGATTATGTACATGTAGCGAAGGAGCTTCGGCAGTGCTGTGGCAGGCCATTTGCAAGTCCAGCTAGTTTTGGGGCTTTGGGGATAGTGTGGGATATGGGATAACACACATACAAACACCCATGCACGGACACGCATGTGTATGTGTATGTGTATGTGTATATATATATAATATGTGTGTGTTTCTGCGCTCCTTTTCTGTTTCAGTCGGTGGCCTTATATGTATATATATATATATATTTGTAATGTACACACATACATAGGTAGATAAGTTGATAGATAATGGATAGATACCTGATACATGCTGTTGATATGTTCAATCATTGGAAGGCTCAATGCCTTGATTAAACATAGCGCAAACTCCGTGATCCAACACCGAAGCTTCGTCTTGGGGTGGTTGGATTTCCTGCGTTTTCCTGCGATATATTCCTGAGGTGCACATACCTTCCTTGCCTTTGACAATTGCCAGATCACCCACTCCCTCGGCTTTTGGTGAAGAGGTGACCCTGGAAGCCTTCTTACAGACCCATGTGCAGCGCGTGCGCGAGATTTGGGAGGCGCCTCGAATGGGACGAGCCCAAGCTGTTTGGGAGTTATGCCACGAGACCCCTGGCATGGAAAAAACGCAAGGCCGACAGCGCCGGTGATACTAAACGGGTGTTAAGAAATTACCAATCGTCCATTGGTGTTCTTTCACGTCACAGTCCCAACTTCCCAAAGCATCTGATTGTCTCAGCCCATCAAACAAAGACCTTTCTGAGTGTCCGCACAGGGCTCCCAACTGTTCGTTCGCCCTTTGAGGACTGCTCGCCTCTCTCAGAGTCTGGTCCTCTTGGCCATGGGCCCTTATTTGCTTCAAACAGCCCGTGAGAGGGCCATGCTGCGAGTGGCGGAGCCACCGCTTTTTCAGCATCATGACCGCAGCAGTTCATGGGGTTGGTGTGTTTGGCCGCGGAAGTTGAAAGGAGGTGATTTGCGAGTTGGGTAGGGAAATCTGAAAGATTATGTTTGAACCTGAACATGGGATAACATGGGTTAGGTTGGTCTTGAGTTAGCTCGGGCCATTTGAACTTCGTGAAGATTGAGACATTTGTTCTGAGAGTTATGTAGTTTGTGAATATGGTTAGGTTAAGAATGCTTGTGCTTTTCGGCAAAAGGCTTGTGGTGGTTGACTGGCGGGTCCCAGTCCACAAAACGGTTGTCAGAAGCGAACAATGTTGAAGATGTTGACATGGTATACCACATTTGTTGAGACTTATTTGTTATGTGAGACTGGCAACTGGCAAGAATTACTGCACCGCTTCGAAGCAGGAGTGTTCACTCTCTTCCATTCGCAGATCTCAGCCGAGTGTCCTCTGGGCTCTTCTACCCCCTAAAAAAGAAACGCTCAGTGCTTCCTCCACTGGCCATTGAGGAACGCCTGTTGTGAGCGCTACAGGATCCTTTTGTGGCTCTTGCGGGACTTGCAGCGGGAACTTGGGCGAGAGAAGCTGGTCTATGTCGAAGTGGGAGTGTCGAAAGGCCAGACGGCACTCTTTCTGCTGGAGGCCTTGCCTTGGCTGGAGGCATATCTGGTGCCTTGGCGCTGCCGTTTAACATGACGGTTTTTGAAGCTACATGGAGGTATGTGTACTGTAGAATTGGATTGAGTATGTAATGAAGATATGAAGATTAATGAAGGAGATTCAGCCTTGCCCCGCTTTCAGAGGCAGACCCACTGTTGGGAGAATGTTTCAAAGAAGCCTTCTTGCGGTACACGAAAAAAGAAGAACTGGATGATTTTGGTGGTGCCATGTCGTGCAACACGTCTTGATTGGAATGCCTTGGGCCTATTTAGGAACAGTTGATTCCAAACTCTTGGGACAGACCTGTGTTCAACCTTCACGGCTTCTCCCACTGGTGTTGGCAATTCCTTACCCCACCACTGGAGGTTGACAATGAGCCACCAGACGAGCTCTTGCAAGCGCTCCCCACCTTTGCTTCCAGGGCGCGTTTGGCCACTCGCTTGGCATTTGCGCTTCGCGAGACAACAGCTTGCAGTGTGTCCAAACCAACAGGCCTAAGTCTTCAGCCTATAGGGTCAAGGATCCAAGGAGCTGGGTCTGCTCAGTCTAGTGCTTATTTGTTGACATGTTGACATCGTTTACTTCTTTTGCTCGATCACGTGACCAGGTCAAGATGGACAGCCGAGATGCTGCTGATCAACTACGCTCCCAGCATGCGGCTTCGCATGCAATGAATGGTGATGCGCTGGCAAGCTAAATTTCTTAATGAAGTGTTGCTGATGGTGTTCTTAATGAAGTGTAGCGATTGGCATTGGCATCACCAGCACCACTTTTAGATACTCGTACTATTCACTCTCCCATTTCCCTATTTCCATTTGTTTGTTCATTTCGTGGTTATTGTTGGTTTCTTGGCTTTCGCTGTGGCATTTTGCTACCGTGAGGGCAACCATGATAGAACGCCGACAGATTCATTCATAGATTGTCATGGTTTGTTTTTTTTTTTTCTTCTTTGGGCTACGGGTCAGGCGTGTGAAGTACACATGCCACACATTGCTGCAAGGATATTGACGATGAAACGGCTTTTCAGACAGTTTGTGTAAAAGCCAGATTGGAAAAAGCCGGCGAGGTCAAAAGTAATCAAAACTGGTCGATCACCTGGTAATGTGGTGGTCTTGAAACATAGATTGCAGATGATTGCAGGCTTTGGTGGTCTTGAGGAAGTCGGCACCACCTCCGTGAGTAAACGAGGGGATCCTGAACTGCGTTACTTCAGTACTTCCATGCGGGTTGGAGGGGCAGCCTCGTCAGACAAATCGATTACTGTAGTTAGAGGTTCTAAAGGAAAGGGGCTGAGTTCAGTTCACCCAGTTGGCCATCCTTTGCATGGATTGTTTTATTATTTGCTTCCTCAATTGTATCAATTGGCTAGTTTTTTTTGTGTCTTTGATTGCGGTTGTTCGTTCGAATGGTTACTTAAGTTGTTCATTAATCTGGTAAGAGCGGGAAAAGCCATGACACAAGCCCTGGCCGGGGGGGGGTTTGTGTGGTGGGAGGGCCCCGCATTCATGAGTCTACAACTTGGATTGAGCAACAACGCCCCCCTGATCGGCCACACCACGTCGCAGACTGACCAGATGTAGACGTGTAAATTACTAAATCAAAAAAAGTAACTTTTACAGATGTGTATATAAATACATATATATATATATACATAGATATACCAATATAACACATTTTCGACAAGCCGCCCCTCTGAACTCAAACTACACTGTGTTGGTGGGAAATACTGGTTACTGAGGATCTGTTGTGCGAGATCCTTGACCAACTCTTTGGCCTTGCCTCGCTCAGGCAGAACATCCGCCCACATAGTACGACAACATATGACAACCATCCACCGAGGGGGAGAAGAACAAAGAACGCATAACATACTCATCCCACATCCACGAAGCCACCTCTACAGGTGGACTGCGTTTTCCTCGACGGCGACCATTCCTACGAGGCTGTCGTGCAGGATTTGGAGGCCTGGGACGGTGGCGACGGAGCCACGAGTCGGACGGGCCCGGAGCTGCTGGTGGGCCACGACTTCTCCTGGGAGCCGCTGGGAAGAAGAAGACGCTCACACTCAACTTCCAGAGTAGATGGCATATCATGGCATACCCCTTGAGAAGGTTCACATAGGCTTGTTAATATTTGGAGACTGCGCTGGCGCCATCTACTCTTGAAGCTTGTAGTTTGCACAGGCTTGGACCGAATGTTTTATTTACCCTGTTGTGCCTTGGCACGAATTGGAGTTGAACGTTTGAAGAACATTGGTATGGCTTAGGGCCTTAGGGGTTCTGACTTTGGTGGTGAATCTGCAGGTGATTTGACTTGAGAAACATCACCTGCGTTCCTCTTCGTGTCCTAGGCATCCTGGCGTCATCGAAGCTGTACTGCAGCACCGCGCCGGCCAAGTGGTGTCGTTGGCGCCTGACCACGTCTTCTATTGGCGGGCCAACAGCAGCGGGCTCGGAAAAAGGTGCGCCACAACTGCCGCCTCTCGGCCCCTTAATTTCTTGGCCCTTCTTGAAGGTGTAGTTCGTGTAGTTAGATCGATCTCTTTATTTTGTATAATATTATAGACTACATTAAGAGGGAGAGAGCGTCTATGTCGCTGGGTGTATCTAACTCAGGAGGTTTGATGCTGTGTTACAGTGGCCACCGATGACTATATAGTGTAGACAAGTGTAACCGTGTAACCCTTGCAACTGCCAAGCAGGGGTTCCCAGCAACAACCTGGTTTGGCCAGGTGGAAGCTGCTCCAAGTGACGCCTCCGAACTCTGGCACTTTTGGGGCGGCGGAGGTGCTGCCGAGCCCGACGCCCAAACCGAAGCTCCAGGTATTTTTACATGTGCTTTTGCATTTTCGCATCAGTCTTTGACTTTGCCTTCCAATTTTGGGGCATTTGGATTTCTCCCTATGTGTTTACATAGCTCCACTGTTTGCCTGATGTGCCAGGCAACACTGGCATGTCCGGCCAGCTGACCCGGCGAGCTGTTGATCATCAGCCGCTGGAGGAGATTGGGAAATTAGCACTCCCACGGACTGACATAAACTGTGAACATACTATTTTGTTGCTTCTGTTTATGATCCCAAATCCTAGTCCTGGTGAGGCCCCGAGATTAATTCCCCAGCGTCAGGTCCGCCTGGATGTGCCTGGATCTTCATACCCCACTAACCCATTTCCGTTGGCTTGATCTTTTGTTCCAGGGGGGTGTTGGCCTGCTGTTCTTTCTTCCTTCTACCTCGTTCCCCTTTAGTTCTGGGAAGTTTGGCCTTCTGAGTGGAACGAAGCTCCATAAAATAATCCCGGTGGGGTGGAAGAGGTGACAGACCCCCAGATTAGTTTGCGTTTGCACTTGTCAATGGCACAATGATCGGAATAGATGTTTTATGCTGCCGCATAAAGGCTTGACATTCTCTGACCATCTCTGGCCCCTTTGTGTGCACGTCTCTAGATTGAACCAGGGCTTGATATGGAAAAGTTAAGTGCGAAGATTTGTATGTGCAGGTTTGGATGGAGGTGTGAACAATGAATGTCCAATTGTTTCTGTGTGTAGGCCATACTTGACATGTCTTGATTGCGCGTGATATGAGAAGCTCTGGAAAACGACTTCAAAGATTACCCAAGCAAAAGGCCTGGAACATCAATGAGCACAAAAGTTTCTTGATGTCAGCAAAACTATGGATGAATATTTTCCTTAAACATAGTCACTGATGTGAGCCACGCGCCTGGACCTATTTCTCAAACAACTGGAGGATACCAGCGGTTCTGCGCAGGGGCGGTGTGTAAGGGACTCGCCATGTTTTTGTGACTTGCAGCCACTCATGCAGTCACCCCTTCAGGTGGCCAAAGACGTCGGGTCGTCATTGAAACCCACTTTCAAGTTCAAACGAAAACATTCTTTGCGACTAAGGCTAAGAGGAGAGTGCCTCCTTGCGCTTAGCCGTTTATGATTTCAATCCCCTCCGCCCTGAGTACAAAAAGGAAGATTTGACCGATGAACGGTGCCAGGACACGCGACCCTTCCGGTTTTCGTACAGGGACATCAATGTAGAGGCCTTGCTGTGACCGTGTGTGGATTGGGTTTCAGGTGGTCATTTTTCTTACTGCTGCTTGCCTATAGCGACGAGTGCATGGACTATGCATGGTTCTGCGGTAATGCCTGCAATTTATTTAGCGCTCAATATCATAGGCTGAAACGTGAGTAGAAACAAGAAGCTACTAGTAACAAGTGCCACGCTAGTAGTAACAGGTGCCTTACTAGTAGTAACAATGTTTGCTATTAATTTAAATAACTCGCAGGTTTATAGCACATCACCGGGGTGGGGTTGTCCCTCATGAGCCTCTTGCCGATCTCAGTCGTACCCAAAGTGCCGAGCTGAACGAGAGCTAAGCCCAGCAAAAAACAAGGAGATAAAAAAAGCGCGAGAGAGAGAGCTCTCCAGTCAGTCATACTACCACCGCATCGAGTTTTGCCCGCCTTGTTTATATTTTTGGCATGGGTGAACATCGGGGCAACGGCCAGATCGATTCTAAAAGGATTACAGTATGAGCCACGCCTATATATACTTGTTTTTGGCAGAACACCGGCAGACAAACATCAAAAGTTCACATGGGAG